AAACGCAGAAAAAAAAAAAAGTTGGGAACAAGAGGCTCGGGCACGGTTTAAGAGAATACAAAACAAGCGCCCCCAGCATTGATTGCCCTCCTCTGAGGGGATTAACCGCTCAACTCTATGAAAATCAGAAATCCACTACGAAACCCTTGTCACCAGCTATCATTGTTTGCAACGCCACAACGGGGAGAGGTATTATCACAATTTGTACTGTCAGATCACCTGCTCCAGTGTCCCCCCCCCAATCCTCAGGATCTTCAAACCCACTCAAACAGGGAGGCACCGGAGCGCCACGTGGCCAAACGCAATGGAACTTTCTGCACCTCTCAGCGCCACCACCTGGCGAAACGTAATTTATTACAGAATCACCATATCTCTCACCACATCACAAGGAAAACAGATACTCAAATCCAGGAGCAAGGTCGTATCAGATTACCTACAACAGCCTCCCCCATGATCCTCACAGTTCATGCGCACTCATTAGACGGGGAGCATCGATGCAATTAAAGTGCTGTCTATCCTACCCCTTCCCGCCGCCATCCCTCCCCCCACATCCCCGCACCCTCTTCGTGTGCATGACACATCCCTATCGCCCTACCCTCTTGCCCCTGACCCCGATCATTCCCCACGGCACACAGGAGAGAAAACGGGATAGGTAGAGAAGAAAGGGGGGAGAGAAACAGGCAAATCACACTTACTTCCTTACACACATCATCGCCATGTTTGTTGTTGTTGCAGGTTGTATTATTGCATGCTAGGTGATTGTTGTTGTTATTTATGTCGACAGGACCATCATCATTCAAAGCTGCGTCGCCAGCAGTGAAGCCACAATCGCAAAGGCCGTCCACGGTATCATCCTTGTCGTCATCGTGAATGTTTATGTCGACAATACCATCGTCATTCGATGCTGCGTCACCAGCAGTGAAGCTACAATCGCAAAGGCCGTCCACGTCGTCGTTCTCGCCGCACGGGCCCTGCCCCTCCTCGAGGCCCTTGCAACCGCGCCACCTCAGCGCATTCGACCGTAGCCGATCCGCGAATCCCACACAAGGGGGCGACCCCTCTTCCAACCCCCATGCATCATCAGCCCGCTCAAGCAGCTCCCGTTGCTGAACACAACCTAGAATATTCGATGGCATCGCTGCCATAGATAGTGATGTTATCGTCGTAGATGTCGTAGTTGGCAATACCACCGTATTAACCTCTGTTGATGTGATTGTGGTCGATATCAGTGCTGTTATTGCCGTTGTTGATGAAATTGGTGTTGTTGATGATGTTGTCGATGATGTTGCTGCTGCTGCTGCTGCCCATGTCTCGGTATCTGGCAGACCACTCGCGTGTCTCCTCGCCAGAAGGCCAGCGAACATATCTTTGACCTGCTGCAGCATCTCCACGCAGTTGTAGAAGACGGCAATCGCCCACGCTCTGTCGATCGCATCCCGCTGTCGAAAAGAGATCTGTTCATAAAGTTCCTCTTCCCACCCATCGCAGGTCTCCTCTCCCTCCAGCAGAACATCATATGGCAGATCACCATGCGCTTGACACATCGCCACATACATCTCCTCCAGTTGCTGTTTGTAAAGTATCACAGTAGACAGCGCGGACACTTCCTCCTTACCCTGCATGTCAAGAGGGGCTCCCCACAGTTCCCCATGAGGCGAAGTCTCCTTACCCTCCCCAATCATTGCCGAAATTGCAGAAGCTGCCGCTACTAAACGTCAACGTGTCAACAGTTCCGCGGCTGGCGTCACCCCTGTCAGCGCGTCACGGGACTCCTGCATTACCAACGGCATGCGCCACGTGGCAAAACACCACGCACGTCTGTCGGGCGCGCGTACAGGCCCAGCGCCCGAGGAACCTCCCCTGGGCACTAGTCGAGCCGGCAGCCCGGGCCTTGCCGGACTGGCGACGACGGGGCGCTAGCGCTAGCGCAGCCTCACCCTCTTCAGTTGATTCTTTATGATAGGTCTTCTCTCTCTCTCTCTCTCTCTCTCTCTCTCTCTCTCTCTCTCTCTCTCTCTCTCTCTCTCTCTCTCTCTCTCTCTCTCTCTCTCTCTCT